TGTGTGTGTGTGTGTGTGTGTGTGTGTGTGTGTGTGTGTGTGTGTGTCTGTGTGTGTGTGTGAGTGTGTGTGTGTGTAGTTAATAGTTTTTCAGTCGAGTCATAATTATTGTGTGTGATCAGCCAGTCAGTAATAATTTTCTTACATTTCGCTCTGCATAAGGGGTAGACATTAAGAATACTGTTAATCTTATTATATAAATAGCCTCCCAAAAAACAGAAATGACGCTGTGCACAACTAGTGGAAACTGTAGTCGAAGGGCAGACAGTGTATTTACGCCGAACAGTGTTTATTTTGTCAGAGTCGAAGGAGATTTGAGTGTGTTTGGTTAAAGCCGTGTGAAGGATAAACAGCTGACGTACTGAAAGAGTTATAGATAAGAGTTTCGCTTTCCACCCGGCGCACGACTTGCTCGTCCGATACTTGTTATTATAAGTAATCTCAGTACAGAGTACAAAAACAAAACCGACCTCAAAAGTACGTGGAATTACATAAAATGATATACGGCATTTTGCTTTGGGGTACTGCCGCCGATATCAATAGAATCTTTGTCCTGCAGAAACGTGCGGTTAGGGCAATTTACAATCCGGGCTCCAGAGTATCTTTGAGAGGTAAGTTTAAGGAAATTAACATTCTTACACTAGCCTCACAGTACATTTATTAAAATGTAATTTATGTTAATAGGAATAGTAATTTCTTTAACACTAATACGAGGAGTAAAAATAAACTAGCTGTTCTTTCACGAGGTTTAAAACTGTAGTGAAACAAAAACTTTATACTAATGGTTGTTATACAACTTCTGCGTACTTAGATGACAAAAATCCGTGGTAGTAGGGTTACTATTGCTACACTTACTAAACTGGCGTTTAGCTCTTGGAGGTAGTCTCGATCTCTGATGTTTTACAAATGTTATTTACAAAGAGCAACCCTACTAGAGTTCCTTTGCTCATTCTTCTCAGGGGAATCTGCCTTACGAATGAGCGGTAGAGTTTAACCATTGTGACGATTTCAAGTGTAATAATGCTTACCTATGAAATAAAGATTATTTTAAATTTGAATTTATAATTACCAAGTTTTATTAAAATCGGTTACCGGAAAGTGCGCAAACCCGGATTCATCCCCTAGTTCGCCACTATACGGGACTTGACACAGGAGATAATAAAAATCGGTTCTCACTACTTAAAGTATATTGAGATGGAAAAACGCCTTGAGTGGACATAAGTTGACAACTCCAAGAAGTCTGTAATTTCACCAACACCCTTACCTTTCAAAACCGGAACGCAGTAATGCTGACATTACTGCTTGGCGGCGGAAATAGGCAAGGTGGCTGTACTTCCCTGGACAAACACTTTCACAAAGAGCTCTACTGTTAATAAAAATTGTGTGTGTGTGTGTGTGTGTGTGTGTGTGTGTGTGTGTTTATGCGAATGAGTGAGAATGTGCGTGGGTGCATTTTAGAACTGTTTAAGATCTTACCGCACCGTTGCTCGCAAGTTAGCAGGGGCTCTTATAGGGCCCTTGCGCACTAGCCCAGAACTCGCGTTACCAGCCGCCGTGTCGCGCTTCTTGTAATATTGGGCATAGTTGTTTATACCACGGTAAATCTGAAACAGATATCAGAAGCTGTATTAAACTATATCAGACTGGTAGCTGTAAAAACTTTCATAGGTTCGGACAGGTGGTGCTACTTTAAAAAAGGTGTTTCAGGCTAATTACCGGAGGAGGAGCGGGAAAAACTGTTTTGCTAGATAAACCAGTAGTGTAAGTATGTTAAGAGGGAGCAGAGGAAAAACTCCTAATCTTCGATTTGATTTTAGAGGGGTATATCCACTTCAAAGTTAAAAATAAAATATTGTACGAGTAACTACACAATATATTCAAGCATAGACACTAATCAGAAACATAAAACAATAAAGTTTCCTCGATAGATAAAAATCACGAAATGACCTCTAATTTTCACATATTTTCGATTTATCCTCGAAATGCTACAGGTTATTAGGACAAAAATTTGATAATTAATTATATTTATGCATGATCGACAACTGTCATTACGGATTTTTTTTTAATCCCTTTAGTTTTAGAGTTATTCCGCTAAAACGAATTTGGTACTTTTAATGCGCAAAATTCAACATCTCCTGTCGCATGTCACGCGAACTTCAGGCATATATTTGTTTCACAAATTTGGGCGGAGCCATCGTCAAAACTTTTTTGGCATGAGAGCTTAATAAATAGTTATAAGAGGGTGTTTTTGGGGTTGGCCGTGCATGTATTGCACTAAGGCGTATATCAGCTGTGTTGCACTAGAGCATGGTCCATCTATGCACTCGCTGCAACAACACGGTGTTGAGTTTTGGGGACGAGCCGCCGACTCGGAGCGCGGCCTTAGAATCAAACCAAGGGCAGTACGGGCCATTGCAAGAGTGTCACAGAATGCATCAGCAATACCTCTTTTCCGGATCATGAAAATACTAACGGTCCCAAGGATGATGTGTTTTCAGGCAGCTTTATATGCCAGAGACCACTTGGAGGAGAACTCCAGACTCGGGAGATGGATATGCGTACGCATCGCGGTATGAGGGCCGGCTGCGGGCTATCATCATCAAAATATCTAAACTAGTGCATGTGATGGTGCCAGCAGTCTACAACCGGTTGCCAGATAACGTGGCTTGTTGAGCAATCACTTCTACACGTTTGATTAGAGTATTGTGTGATGCTATTCATTGTTAGTAATTTGACGTAATTGTAACGTACTTCGTTTCAATTCATGTTGAACAAAAAGTACACAAACAAGTCACTGGCCCGACCATAAGTGGTTTAGTGATGGCCAATTGCAATGCCAACTACAAATCGATTAATTAATTAATTGAATCTATTTGTTCAATTAAGTCATACTAATGGTTTTCCTTATTTAACGTATACAAGCATATTTAATAAATATATTTCCGAAATCTTCATTTTAAATCCTCCTTCAAATCCTTACACTTTACACTAAGATACTTGTTCGATTGCGATTGAAATATTCGATTTATGAATCGATTACGAGAACTTTAATTGAAAAAACCGAATGTTTTTTTCATACAGCACTATGCAACCATAGACAAGTCATAGTTGTATAGATGAAAAATAACCTCACTTTTGGACCAGTGGTGCCAGATTAGGCGATTTTTCGATATTTAGGCTACTTAATAAAATGTCTGGGGAAATACAAACTTCATTGGGGATTTTGCGGGGAATGGAGTTTCAAAACAACTCATTTGGAGGTTTTTTCTACGTATGGGGAATTGGAGGCATAAGAGAATTCATATTCCCCAATTCCCTGCAGCAAGCAAAATTGCTTTCCTTGATTATCAGGGATTTTATGGCTTAGTTGAATATCGGTTACTTAGCATCCATAATTAGCGAATTAATTTCGCAAAAGTCTGGCAACACTGTTTTGTACTACCATTTTTCAAATACGATTTTACAATGCTATTCAAATGAATATTGTTGGAATAAATATAATCTCAGTACAGAGTACTAAAAAAACCAACCTCAAAAGTACGTGGAATTACGTCTATTTGCTAAGTTTTATTGAAATATCCCCTAGTTCGCCACTATACAGGACTTGACGCTGGAGATAATAAAAATCGGTTCTCACTACGAAACTACTCAAAGTATATTGAGAGAAAAACGCTTTGAATTGGAGAAATAGCAAAATCAACTATTAAAGTAATTACTCCTAAATTAAAGTTAGGCGCTATTTATAAAAATGAATCTTCATGCGTGAACAGCCACCCTTCGAGGTGGATGATTTTCTTCAAAATGAAATGGGACCACTATGGAAGTACCCCCTTTCCAACAAAAAAAGAATAATGAGAATCGGTTCAAAAAAGAACACAGTAGAATTGAGAACCTCCTCCTTTTTTAAAAACGGGTAAAAAGTGATGAGATATCAAGTCGAAATCTTGGAAACATACGTGAAAGTGTTACTTATTCCATTATATTTTTAGATAAATTATATATTTATTATTAGATAAATATGGATAAATATTTTTAATCGCGGTTTATTATTTATACTTAGTAAAACAAAGTATATTTATAAGTTTAACTGTAAATATTGATACAATTTAGTAGCATGTATGTGTAGTATATTGCTTGTTATACCTTTTTTCTATATGCAGTGATAAAAATAATTCTTTTAAGTAGTACAGTAAATCCCTGTATTTTTGCGTGAACCTTATTATTATTTAATTAATTAATTAAGTCTTCATTGGAAATACTTAAACGGTAATTAATTCTAATACGTAGGAAATTCAATTCAAAATCACTTGGCCACTATTTTGCCAAAGACTAAATTCGCTACCGAATAATTTGCATGAGTGCGAAAGAGACGGAGATAGCCACTAAGGAGAATTGTAAACATTTATTTTTTATATTATGTGTTTTAATTAATAGACTTTGAGTGTGAAATGTGAAAGAGAATTCCTAGGCTATTTCAAGTCCAAATATGACTTTATTTAGTACGGAGTAGACCCCAAGACCATAAAGTTGGGTCGCACTTTATTAATGCAGGATAGGTCAGCTCAAGGGTTACACTTAATTTGATAACTTTCTGTCAGTCGAGTCGAGTCTATACCAGTTCTATATACATAGTTCATATACAAGTTCTATGTTGATAAAAGTTTAGGTGAGTATGTAGCAATTTGTTTACATTCCTACCGCAGTTAGTGAGATGTTATCGACTCGAAAAACTTAAGTACTTATGTTTTATGTAACAGTATTGTTACATAAAACATTGGCAAAGTGAGAAGTATGAATTCTATTATAAAAAACACAAAAAATAAATATCCATGTTTTAGGATAAATACTCAGTAAAAACGGATATTTATCGGGTAAAAACCCATCTCTAGAACAGGCTGTAATTGATAATATTTTTATTTGTATTTTTAGTTTTTTATTATTGTTATTTAATGAATTATCATTAAGATTTAAGTATCGTATTAATTATTTCTTGTGAATCAATTTAATAATTCGTTATTGTTAAATTTTTGTGACTTATAGCTTTTTTGTTCTCAATAAATGACAATGACTATTTACATTGCCCAGACAGCGATTGGCGGGAGTTGTTATTTGTGTTTTATATATATATAGGCCGAGGCTTGTCCCCTATGGAATACAGATCATTTACATGATCGTTAGATCATATTACCTTGTCGTCAGCTTGTCCCTGCAGCTCCTCGTTCACCTTTTGTGCTTTCTCGAAGATGGCCTGTGCATCTTTATCATGTTCTGTGTCCATCTGGTATGTCGCTGTTGCATTTTCGCGCTGCTGTTGCACTGACAGGGTTGTTCGGGACGAATTTGGCTGGAAAAATGAACAGAATATCGTTATAATCTTGCAGGCCAGTAGAGATGGCCATAACGGCTACATGTCAATAATTAACTACACTGCTATGTTATTTTCCATCACACTTGCTTGTAAATAGCATGATTGCATGCGCCACCATGCAATCATACTATATGTCTATAATACCCCAAATGAAACACTCGGGCGTTTTTCTTCCCATTACAGGCCCAGTCGGTAAAGACATTTTAATTTGTAGCACAACATACTTCCTTACATAGCTCAGGTTCAAGTTCAAGTAAGGAGGTTACTTAAGTTTAAAATTAAAACATTCGCTTGATATTGCTCTTAAAGAGCTCAAAAAATCTACTGACCTTAGGACAGCAACTAGCGCTTACTACGCGTATGCTTATGCCTGGCTTAGCTATGGCGTTGCATTGTGAAGCAACAGCACTGACGCAAAAAAAGTTTTTGTGTTACAGAAGAAATGTATCCGCATACTCGCTAATATAGACTCATTTACAAGCTGTTAATCGTATTTCATTAAATATCATATCTTGACTTTACCATGTATATATATTTTACAAATGTGTCTTATTGTCAAGAATAATTTAAATGCATATCCTCTACATTGTCGTTCAGTAAAATTAAGACCCAAATGCAGACTAGCAACAACAGTTTCAAAATTACAAATGGTCCACTTGGGGCCATATTCGATGTCAATTAAAATTTATAACGCACTCCCTCACTTTGTAAAACCGATAAATAGCGTAAAAATGTTCCAAAATCAACTTAGTAAACATCTGTCTCAAAAATGCTACTATTCATTGCAAGATTTTTTTAATGACAAGGAAAATTGTTCATAACGTCATAAAAAAGGAATTTTGATATGTTAACTATATTTATAAAAAATATGACATAATTATGTAATTTAATAAAATGACAAATGTTATTACTATTATTATATAATTCTAGAATAATTTGACGATTAATTTTTTTGAAATACTTAGACTTCAATTTGACATTCATTTTCCAATTAATTCATTGACTTTTCAGAAAATATTTTGTTTAGATTTAATTATCATTATAATGACATTTTAATTAATGGTAATAAAATGTGTATTTAAAAAATTGACATTGCTACGCCCTTACAGGGTACATGTTTGATACTGTAAACTACTATAAGAACTATTATGTAACAACATGTTTTGCAATAAACGCTATTATTATTATTATTCTTGTATTTTTTTATTGAATGTCAGAATGTTTCATCGTCATTACATTAAATTATTTTTTTGTGAAATTACTCCACTAGTTTGTTATAATTGTTAATGCAAAGATCGAAAAAATAATAATTCGAGCTGGCTGGTTTCGAACCAGCATCTTCTTTTTTTGCTTAAAGGCGCTACCTTTTAGATTTCGCCTGTATCGAGTTTTCCGCTTAGTAATTTTAAGGGCTTCTGTAAACTCTGCTATTTAGTGAGTATTGTGAGAGCACAATGTGATATAAACAATACATTCTTATTAGGTTTTAAAGTTGCAGAGCTGTTGAATTACCTGAAAGGGACAGAGAACAATATATATATAGACAAATGTTAGTAGGTAAGTATGTTAGGCAGGACGAACAAATTATAATTTTATGTTGTTGCTGGTTATATAATTATGTCAAAAAAAGACTTAAAACCGTATTAAAATTTGTGGGTTTAGAAATGAATGAGGGGAGGATATCGTACAAGGAGACGGGGTACTTGTTGCAATTGAAGAAAATGTGATCCGGAGCTCCTTCGTCCAGCCCGTATTCGTACAGCGAGCTGTCCCAGCATCTTCGAACAAACCGTGGCAGATGCTATGCCAACTAAGAAGAAATAGATTTGTCATAGATGGTTCTTACTCATTCTTCTCAGGAGAATGTGTCTTAGGACAGAGAACAAAAAATAAAAAGAATGGACATTCTCCGTCCCTCCCTAACTTTAGATACGGCACCACACCCCGCACATTGATGGTCCCATTGACTGAACGACAACAACGTTGTGCGAGCCGTTTTCGCGCTAAGACGGCTATGATATTTGAATATAGTTTTCATTTATTCATTACCAAACTTGTACATTAATATATAACATCATTATACGTTACTATTTATAATGGTCGTGAATTTGCTAGCTGTTTACCATCTAAACTAGATAAAGAGAGGAATTTCTTTAATTTTCCAAAAGATTAAACAAAGTAAGTAGAAAACAACTTATCTGAGACTCAATCAGTTATTGTTTTCTTCATTAATTTAGTGCAGAGTAACATATAATACAGATTTATTATATCAATGTAGTGAGACGCCATAACGTCGTGAGCTAGTAGACAAAGGTTCTAGAATTTTCAAATGTGTATTGCTGATAAATATTACATAGTGAATATAAATAATTATTAACTAGGTAATTATAAACTTGGACATGCAATTTCAAATACCTTGGTTTCCTTATTTAAAGTGCATGTCCAAAATATAACATTTTAAGTGCTTTTAATATATTTTTTAAATAAATCTTGAATATTATCGAGTTTGTAGGTTTTCGAGATTGTTACACATAGGAAATGAAACTATTTATATAACTACACATTCAATGAAGTTTGGCAAACCCCAGGTCCTTGCATAAGAAATCCGTTATCTACACAGGATGCTGCGAGAGGCCATTGAAATTAAAAAACAACCTAATTTTAACAGGGAAGATGGTTTCTCCGTACCACCAGTTTGGGATCCAGTATTTCCTCTAATGAAAAATCCCAAACAGACATAGACTGCAGTACTAATTAAAATGTTTTAGTTTATTCTAATCTATATTATTAATTAATAATAAATTGACCTTAATAAAAATTCATTCAATAAAATAATTTGTAAAACTTAATGTAGCGTAAATTGGAATGTTTTCTTTGTAAAATTAAAAATAAGGTATTTAATTAATAACTATTGTAACTATAGTGAAAAAATAGGGTGGTTTGCATTAATATTAGACATAACTGGTTGAAGACTGTACCACCTTAGTCAACTGTGCCCATGGGACCTGTAAAGGGCCCAAACGTCGGTTTGTTTGAAAAAACAAATACACACAACTGAAATCCGGAAAAATAGTTTCATTTTCCTTGAATATTATTCTAGTTAGTGAATTAATGAAAAATATAGTATTATATCGACATAAATAATAGGGGTTAAAGTATGAAATTGCCGATTTGTACTGAAAATCTAAATTGTTTATTTTTTAAATTTTTAACAAATTTATTTAATCAAAATAGTTGCCATTATTATCTATACATTGCTGCCATCTAATGGGAAGGTTATTAATGCCTTTGCGATAGAACTCCGACGATCTAGACTGCACAAACTGTGTGAAAGCATTTTGTACTGCCTCCTGGGAAGAAAACTTCTTGTCACGTAGATAATTGTCCAAATCACGAAAAAAATGGTAGTCCGTTGGAGCAAGGTCTGGTGAATACGGAGGATGACGAATGGTTTCTAACTGCAGTTCCTGAAGGGTCAAAATGGTTTCTCGTGCTGTGTGAGGTCTCGCGTTGTCGTGGAGCAATAATGGTGAAGATCGATTCATGAGTCGGGGCTGTTTTACTGCTAGTTTTGTCAACATGGTTCGGAGTTCGGCACAATAGACATCTGCCGTTATTGCTTGACCAGATCGGAGAAAACTATAGTGAATAACACCATGCTGAGACCACCAAACAGTTACCATTACCTTTTTATTGGTAAGTTTTGCTTTAGGACACTGTTGTGGCATTTGACCTGGGGTCAGCCATTGCATTTTTCTTTTCCGGTTATCATAAAGAATCCACTTTTCATCACATGTTACAATTCGATCCAATATTCCTTTATTTCTGTACCGGTTCAACAAGGCAACACAAGTTTCAACACGCGTTTCTTTCTGCAGATCAGTCAAATCATGAGGCACCCATTTTTCGTATTTTTTTATTTTATTGATTTGACGCAAGTGAGTCAATATTGTGGGTAAGGTAACGTTAAGCCATGCCGCTAATTCCTGGGTAGTTTGACTAGGATCGGCTTCCACTATCTCTCTTAATTCATCGTTATTCACCTGTGTGGGCGGTCTTCCTCGTGGCTCGTTCTTTAAGGCGAAATTTCCATCACGAAAGCGTTTAAACCAAAATCGCACGGTGCGTTCATTAGTAGACCCCTCTCCAAACGCAGCATTGATATTGCGGGCTGTTTCTGCCGCGTTAGTTCCGCGTCGGAACTCGTATTCAAAAATCACTCGAATTTTCGCAGTATCCATCTTTCTTGTCTAAATTGAATAACAAAAACAATTGAAAGTCGATATTCAAATGTTTCAAATTAAAAAAAAAAAAATCACAGAAACCATTTGAAAAAAGTTTCATTCGAAAACCTCAAACCATGAAGATTCTATGAAAATTCAAAGAACCTATTGCAATAAAACGGCAATTTCATACTTTAACCCCTAATATATTTAAAATATTTTTAATTAGATTATCTTGTTTTTAATAGTTACTTTTCTTTAATAATAATATTGTATTGTATTAATTGTACTTATTTATATTATTTCTGTTATGGCTTATTTTGAGTTATTATATTTTTTTCTAAATTTCGTTAGATCAACTAGTTTACTTTTTTTCTGTTGTGTCCACATTTGCAGGCCGTGGCGACCTTTAATTGAGGCAGAATTTAGTACAAATCTCTGTATCACTATTTCAACTTTATTATATTTAATTCATGTCTTGTTGGTTGTCTTAAAATAAATAAATAAATAAAATAAAAAAAACAAAACAAAGCTGTTCCAAATTAAAAAAATATTAATATGATTGTAATTTGGTTTTACTTAAGTCTTATTTGTAGAAGTGGCCAGTTTCGTTTCTAACAAAAAATTTTCATTTAAAATGTGTGGTAAAAGATTTTTTGCGATTTCTGCCATTTCGAGTACTCTTACACAGTTGGTCCCGTAGAGTCTATTGATCCTTACCAGAGACCGGATCGAATGGCATAAAAATTTTTTTTGTAAAAATTGCCTTTTCTCTTGCTGACTGTACCATTTTTTCAAAATCTGTGAATGCCAATCAAAATATCTTCAAAATTCATAGATAGACTTCTAGGACCGTTTTCCTGTAACTACAACGATTAAGGTAGCTGGCCTTGCTGCCCCGTCTCAAATTTACACCCTGTATATATATATGTATAAAGCTACAAATTCTGACTCACTTAGAAAATTAGAACGCATACTTCTCGATACGGTGGAAAAAAGATATTTATACCGTTGTACGCGGATAGGCTCCAAGGCAAAGAATCAAATATGAGAAGACCTGAATATGGAAAATGTAAACGAGTGATCAACGACCAGCAAAAACTATAATACATGGAG